AAAAAACTAAGCTGACATTTTCAAAGTCTCTTGCTATAAACATACAAAGCCAATATAAGCTTTTTATAATAACTAATATAACTTAGTTTACCGCTCAGTATGGGATAGGAGGTCTGCAAAAAGTGGCAGTAGCAATATTTATTCATGTCTAATTAGCTAAACTGTTGTACAGATGGAACTTCATGCTGAATCTTCCCATATGTCTCACACAAAACCAGGAATTAAGAAAATTCAGGAATAGTGAGGCTGTGCAGGTAATTGCTATGCAAATTTTTTTCTATCTTCATCAAAATGTGAACTATAGAAAATACTATAGTCCCAACACATCTGATTTGGACAGTTCAGAAACATAAGAGTGATACCAAAAAAACAGCACCTGGTGTCTGATCCTTCAAGAACAGGAACCTCAGCAAGGATCTGAAACCACAACTGATACTGTTTTACAGCTGATCTAGAAAGTGAAACATATTGACATATACACTGGCTGGCTGTGCTGGATTTGCCGGGGATAGAGTTGATTTTCTTCGCAGCAGCTGGGAATAGTGTTGGTAGTAGAGAGATGTTTTGTAGCTGCTGAACGGGGCTTACACAAAGTCATGGCCTTTTCTGCCCATCACACCCCCCACCACAAGGAGGCTGGGGGTCAGAAGGAGTTGGCAGGAGACACAGCCAGGACAGCCGATCCCAGAAGGCCAAAGGGATGCGCCAAATCATAAGATGCCATCTGAGCAGTAAAATTAGGGGGGAATACAGGGGGAGGGGGGAGCACCGTTCAGGGGCTGCTAAGCATTGGTCAGGCCTGATTCTCTCCCTCATCCCACTGGAGAAGGGGTGTGTGTGTGAGTGGCTCTGTGGTGCTTTAGTTGCTGGCTGGGAAGCACCCTGGGGTTGACAGCACCTATATCCTGTGGAAGCAACACTTTGATTTGAGATAAATACGATCTGATTTGCCTCCATATCCCTCTTTGGCTGTAGCACTGCATAGTCTCTTCCCACCTAAATGTAAGTAATGCAAGAAGTTTACAAAGTCTGCAGGCTCTTACACGCTCACTCTAGTGGCCTCCAAGAGGTAGGGTATTTCTCACATCACATAAGTTATGGCTTCCCTCTCCCTCAGCCCTTTCGTTTCTTCACAGGTGGAATGGAGAGCTGAGCAGAAGAATGGGATAAGTAATTAGGAGGCATCAAGTTTTCAGGAAACCTCTTTTACAACCCTAACCAACCTTTGCCCTCACTGCCATACTTACCTCAGGGAAAAAAAAAAAAAAAAAAAAAAAAAAGGGAAAATTTCAGTTTTAAGAATTTTATTATGTAGCAATTGCTCTGACACACAGAAGCTTGCATCCTTCCAGAACACAAACAGCTCTGTAAGTTGTGGTTTGTCCTTATGTCTAAGCAAGCCATGCATCAAGGGACATATAATTGTTTTGTTATGGTTGAAAACCATCTTTAAAACATGCAGGCACTAAAGCCTTATTCTCTTGATAACACTGATTCTCACCAGAACATATTGAATGCCCCTGTGCTTACTCACAAACCAACTTTCTCTGCTAAGCAGAGAGATTTCTGAACTGAAATGCTTTTCCTGCAAGCCAAAGGTTGCAACAGATTAAATTCAGCAATAATTAATTCACCACTGAAATCAGAACCATACATTCCAGACACACCCTGAGCTTGTTCTTCCACTGCAGCAATAGAATTTCAATGGTGAATCATTTTGTAATATCTACTGAAATCTACCTTAAATGCTGAACATCAAGGTAAAAACTACTTTAATCAAACTATCCAATAAACATGTGAACCTAAGGTATCCTTGCAGCTCCATCATGCTCTCTCTCTTTCTACTTTCCATATTTCAAGTGGGTTTGATCCCAGACCACTACATTTTGCTTGCTAGAAGAGATTTAAGTCTTTTCAGTATGCAACGTATTCAATATTGTTGAAGAAAAAACTTCTGAAGAAAGGGTTTGTACAGGGTCTTTACTAAGGTGGGGCCTTCTCAACCCCACTCTGTGGTTAAGGGGGAGTATGCAACACATATTTTTCAGTTGCTTTTTCCCTCAATTTGAGCTCTTATTTAATGAGATTTGTATCTTCATAAGCAGTAAAATCTGTTGTAGTGTTGGGATTAAAAGGAAATGCATGAAGAACGACAGCCACTGATAACACACATGGAATCCACTTCAGTAAAGAGAGGAAAAACTACTAACCAACTCTGATTTTGGTGCAGTAATTCAGTAACACAACACTGATACAGTATTGTCTCTTCCGTACTGTCTAATGAATCATTAAATATTCACATTAATCTCTGACCATGTGCCAGTTAAGGACTAAAATCATTAAATTTTGTGATGTCCTCTTTTTTTTCTTATACCCTCCTTCCCCAAATATGCACCTGCAGTTCTTAAAAAAAACACCACAGAAGTGTAGATTCCAGGCTCTGCTATTAAATCAACAGATCTGGATCCTTTCCTTCAATCATTCTGCCACTTCCAAATACTCTGTCTTCATTTAAAAGCAGTGTGCAAAGTTGCATTCCATCTTTCAAAGATTTGGCAGTATTTTTTGGAGAGTCCACCACTGATCTCAGAGTTCTGATTCACTGGTGGTGGCGTTACTGTAGCTCGTGGAGTTTTTTTAAGGTCTGATCCATACCTATATAGATGATCAAAGCACTCAAGATTGAGCTGCTGAACAGCTATAAAGCAGCACTCTGCAGTAATTCACTCCATCTCCCTGCCTCCCTTAAAATACCATGCTGCAAAGTTGCCACAGGTGGAAGCCCAGATTTACTTCAGCCTCAAATGCATAAAAAGCAATTCTCTACAGTCCTCAAATACTACATGGCCTGAAGAAATAGATAATTGATCCACGCTGCAGGAAATGATAGCATAGTTTAATATTTTCAGTCAGCAGTTGACATGTTTATTAGAGGAAGAGCATCTTGTGTTGCTTTTTTTGTTTGTTTGGGGTTTTGGTGTTTGTCTTTGTTGTTTGTTTTGTTTGGTAATTCTTTAAATGACATTACTTTAGTCTATAGCTATTATTTTAAGCACGCTTCATCCAGTCAGTAGCATTTTAGTGAAAGGGACACTGAGCTGTATATAAACGACACCAATCATAAGGAAAAAACTGCAAACTCAGTTATGCTAGGTTGGTTTGCAGGCTGGTAGAAGGCTGTTTATACATGAGGAATTTAAGATTTCAGGCTACGAGAGCCACAAGTTCCCAGATACCTGTTCTCCCACTTGGGAATTGATCCATGTTTTCTTGTTGAAACTGGAAGAAGTGATTTTTTTACTATTCCCATTTGTCCACCCACCACTCTCTCAACAGACAGTTGAAGGGGAGGGAGAACATCTTCCAGGTGATAGCCTGGCGTGTAAAAGTAAATCTGTTCACTTAACGTGGTAGGCTGCAAGTGTGGTGGTAAACATGACAGTGTGCTGTGCTCGCAGAGCCACAAAACCTGCAGGTGAGGGGATGAATTGGAGGAGCAGTCTGACCAGTCTTGCTCTAGCCATCACCCAGCCTATTATCATGGATTAACTGGCACTCTTTGGAAAACCCCCACAAGGAATTAACGATGAAGGAATGCAGACGACACAAGAACCACGGCAAGCCGGAAGTAAATACAATTCACCTTCACAGGGGACTTAACCTGAATATATAACAAAATATACTACAAAAGCCCTGTAGCCCTCAGAACATTCAACTGTTCAGGCAAGTTCCAGTTCTGTGTCATTTACACTGGATATAAGAACACTTGAAGACTGAGTGCACAAAGACATGGCCGTACATTTTGAGGAGTATCTAATCTCCAGCTGCACGGCTATGCACTTCATCATTAAATAGAGAGACAGATTCAATGTGCTCTTTTAAATCCATTTCCAACTAAAAACAACCCAAAAATAACTTCAAAGGAAGGTGGAGCTTACTAGCCCATAACTGCCCTGCGGGTGCAACAAGAGCCTGAAGGGAGAAATTGCTTGAATAATTAACGCAAATCCTCTCTCTGAGAGTTTTGTGTCTACAACTAATCCATATTTGTCCAGAGAAGGGCAACTAAGCTGCTGAAGGGTCTGGAGCACATGTCCTGTAAAGAGAGGCTGGTTGGAGGCATTTAGCCTGGAGAAAAGGAGGCTCAGGGGGAGCCTTATCACTCTCTACAAATACCTCAAAGGAGATTGTAGCCAGGTGGAGTCGGTCTCTTCTCTAAGGTAACAAGCAGCTGAATAAGAGCACATAGGCTTAACGTGCAGCAGAGGAGATTTAGGTATGACATTAGGGATTAGACACTGGAATGGGCTGCCCAGGGAGGTGGTGGAGCCGCCGTCCCTGGAGGTGTTTAAGTAAAGTCTGGATGTGGCGCTTATTGCCATGGTCTAATTGACAAGGTGATGTTCATGGGTTACACTCCTTGATCTTTTTTCCAACCTAATTGATTCTGTAATATTTGGCAATCCACCTCAACGCACAAGTCACATGAGAAAGTGGAGGTTTTCAGCCCCTATCCCAAAAACAACAGCAGAGTCACCCACGCTTTGCGCGCTTCAACGTTGTTTCAAAGTAACGCGATCACCGCTGTAAGAGCCGAGTTCCAGTCTTTCAAGGCTTATGGGACGACGCGTAGATTCGCTGCCTGTCCCGGGGGATCCTGCCGGCAGCCGGGCTCTGCCGGCGGCGCACGGTGGGAGCGCTCGGTGTCCCGGGCGGGCGCAGGGCCCGGGAGCAGAGCGCCGCTGCAGCCCGGGGCCCGCCGGGCCGCGGGGCTCGTGGGGCTCCAGGGGCCTCTGCGGCGGGAGCTCCGCGGGGAGGCCCCACGGCCAGCACCGCCTTCCCCCGTACCGCCGCCCCCGCCCCTCCACCGGGCACTCACCGCCAAGAAAGGTGCCAAGGACGAGGCATTTCTTCTTGTGCCGCTTGAGGAAACTCCAGAGCGACCGGAGCATCCTGCGAGCCCGGCCGGCCCCGGCCCGGCCGCCCCTCGGCTCCAGCGGCGGCGGAAGGGGCGGAGGCGGCGGCGGCACCGCCCGCGGTGCCCCGGAAGCAGCGGCGGGCCCGCCATGGCGGAGGCGGCGGAGGCGGCCGCGCTGGCCTGGATGGACCAGGCGCTCGACGTGGTCAGTGCGGCCGGGGCTGCCGCTGCCCCTGCCCCTGCCCCGCGGGAGAACCTCGGGGAGCACCGGGCCCCTCAGGGCAGCGCGGGGGGAATGCGGCCGGCGGCAGCTCCCCCGCTGCTGTAACGCTGTCCCGTGCCTCTGGCGAGTCTGTCTGTCTGTCCCGCAGGCTAAGGAGGCGCTGGAGAAAGGGGAGGTTCCCGTGGGCTGCCTGCTGGTCTACAACGGCGAGGTCATAGGCAGGGGCAGGAACGAGGTCAACGAGACGAAGAACGTGAGTCGAGGTCGGCCCGGGAGCCCCTGCCCTGCCCTGCCCTGCCCCGCGCTTGTCCCGCTGCTGGTCTCAGACCTGCTCTCCTAAAGCCGCCTGCGGGTTAAGAGCGAGAAATGCCTGTGCGGCCTCTCCCGATGAAGCTCTGTGCACAGGCCAGGACAAAGACCTATTTCCTGTACATTTTACACCTGTTGCAACTTCAACCATCAAATTAGCTATAAGATCTGGTGCCGAGAGACCCATTAATGCTAACAGGGATTTTGTACAGCTGGAAGTTGTATATAAATTAATCTGACTGCAGGATCTGGCTGTAATTTGTATTAGATGTCTCAAATCTGGAAACGTAATAAAAAGTTAAAATTACTCTTCTGAGCTAAAAAACGTAATAGTAAAGATGAATCATTATAGTAATTTGTTCTGCAGGACAATCTGTACTGTATTAAGAGGATTCTAGTACAGCTTTAGGAAAGCCAGGTGACAGAGAAGTTAGGTGTCTCACCTTACGCCATTGTAAACACTGGGGAAGCAGACCCTTCTTGGGTAAATCATGCCAGAGATAGTAATATTGTATAGAAATCACATGTTAATAAACAGGCAGAACATAACTGACAACATGGGAACAAAATCAAAATCAACCTAAAAATGTCAGGGAAGCTTTCAGGAATTTTTGGTGTCAGGGCTGTCTGAAGGTACATACTAAAATGCGATTAGCCTGATTTTAAAAAAATCAGCTGGATTTTGGAAACAGTAATCTGTTAATATCTCTGAAAGCCAAGCCTTTTTTTGAATTGCTGCTCAGCTCAAGTTTCAGTTCTTTTGTGGCTCAATTTTCATAAATGTTTATATTATAGTGATTGGAAATGCTGGGTACTTAGTGCTTCTAAATTTTTTATCAGATACGTTATTGCTCCATGTAGTCTAAAAAAAAAAAATTAAGCTTGAAAGCAGAAATTGTTATGAACTGTCAACATAGGAAATTGTTTTCAGTTTTCTCCTAACAGTTTCTGGCATTAGTTAGGGACCATCCTGGAGGGAAAAAAACAATCCTCTTGAGCCATTGAGGCAGTTCCAGCAGACATCATAAATGTCAAGGTCTGTTTTAAAACTGATTTATTGTCCCACCTTATACTGAAGGACTTCTCCAGAACATCATTCCTCAGATGTCTAAAAAATGTCTGATTTCTGGTTTCAAACTTTTTATGTTCTGTCTATATCTCCCTCTTCTTGTGCCAGCACCATCCATTATTTTACATAGCTTGGATGTATTTAAAGTCTTATTCCTTTTCAGCTTCTGTTTTTCTCAAGCTAGCTATTTAATTTCCTCTCAGAAGACAGGCTTGCTTTCTGTGTTCATTAGAATAATTCTTTTACATAGCCATTCCAGTTTTGATTCATTTTTTCTTGAATTCACTTAACCAGAACTCTTAAGAACACTTAACTGGAATTTTATTCCAGATGGACTTGTGCTTTGTTTGATAATAATAATACTTCACATTCTCCCTGGAAGAAAGTGTACCCATGTTTTCTGGAGCTTCCTTGGTCTTTTATACTGTTTTGTTATTCTTCATTTGTTATTTTGAAACTCTTTTTTCACTCCTGTCATGAAGGGCATCCACCTCCTGAAAGACACTCTCTCACCCTGTCTCTTCTCATGATGCCTTTCATCAAACAAAAGACATCACATCATCAGCTGTTTTCTGTAGGGGTTTTTCCAGTTAATGCCAGTGACACAACTGAAAACATTTAACCCAAATGATCTTTGAGTGTCTGTTCCCTCTGGACAAATATTTCCTCTGTCAATGCAGTATCTCTTCTTTTCTTGCTCACCTTACATTTCTTGCATTAGGCTGTTTCCCCCACTCACAATAATTTCACAGGTTGTGCTGTGCCAGATGCACTGGAGATGTCCAGAGAGACTGATCTTTCTCTTGTCTAAGAAAAAATATTTGTCAAAGGAAGTTATTAGGCTAATTTAGTCTCAGCTACCTTAATGCTTTTTTGTTTAATTTGCCCTTTATAAGGACTAGTCCTTTATAGTCCCTTTATAAGGACTAGTCCTTATAACACTATTTTCAAAGGTTCGTTATCTTGCCTGCTTTATTATTAAGACCCTCCTGGATATATAGGTGTCAGGATTGTGTGACACTTATCCTTCCTGGCTTTTATTACAGTGACTCTGTTTGCTCAGTAGGTTTCATTCATGTAACACTGCCTTGATGCATTAAAACACTGCTATGAGACTGGCAGCTTTCTGGCCTCCAAAATGCAGCTTTATAACATACTGACATTTTTAACTTAATGAAAACTTTTTTCCTGCTTTGAGAAAGTGATCATTTATCCAATTAAATCTTCAGTCGTTCCCTGCAATTCTGCTTTTGCTCAGGAATCAGCGTGCCTCTGAGTCTTTTGTCAAATAAATTCTGTCTTCTCCTTAAGCATCCTCTGATGTAATGGGCTGAAGTGAGGGCAGGTAGTGTCTTCTTTATGCCCTCTTTCATTATGTTCCTAAACTGCTCATTTTGGCAAAATATTTTGTTGCAAAAACTCCAGTGTTTTCAGGCTATCTCTTGTCACCCTCCATCTTTTTTTTTTTTTTTTTTTTTTGCCTGCCATGTCCACAGCAGAACACATTACTGTCAGAAATACTGCTGCTTACTCTGTGGAAGTTATTTGCAAAATTTCTGATCATTACATTCTTCTGGCAAAAGTTTTTTTTGGGAGAAGGAAGTTTGTATACAGCTATGTTTAGTTTTTTTATTTTTTTAGGAGAATGGCTGTGGCATCAGCATTTCAAAATAGACATGACACTACTTGTCTTCTTGGGCAGCAGTGCTGCAAATGTCTGTGTAAGACATTGGGTTTAGACAACCTGGTGATTAATTCACAAGCATATGCCAGTACTGTTTCCTCTGGCAGCTTCCCCCCCCCCACTTGCCTGTTCACAGTCTTGCCTCAGACCAACCTGAAAATTTTCTGCCTTACAGCATATGTGACCCTTCCCATCTAGGAATGTTTTTTTGGCATCTTTATTCCAATATGTAATCAAATCATTCACTTCCCAGTAAAATGGTCTCTGTCGTAGGTGCTTTGTTGATATACACAGACATCTCCTCTTTGTTCTGTCCTGTTGGGTCATTGTAACAAGTGTCTTGCAGGCACAGTACGAAAACAAAGTATTGTTTGTGTAATGAAGCCACAAGGTTACACAGAACTTTGAGCTTTGGACCCCTTTTACTCTCACTTGTTAATTATGGTCTAAAATTTAGAAAGTAAGCATTTTAGGGCTGTAATTATACCTTTATTTGTGAAACATTTGCCACAGTTTGGGACACTGTGAAGGCTTTTACCCCAGTGAGTCAGCTTTTTCCCTTGGTACACCATTTGCCACTGTGTAACAATTCTCATTTTCCCTTGCTACTCTTAACTTGCTTTTGCTTTATTGGCTTGAAAATAGTTTGTAATATATGGCAAGTTAAGCTTAAGAATTGAGTCAGTGATTCAAAATTAAAATAATACCTCTTGTATGTTATTTTATATACAGCAAGTCAAAAAAGGCTATCTAGTCATTGCTTAATACAAAATAAAATATTAAGTCAGACCTAGAAGGTCAGTTTTCCCCTTGTATATTGTCTTTAAGATGGGCCTTTAATAGGTGTGTAAGGAGGGACTTCAAGACACGAGAATAAACCTTCCCCTTTGCACATCCTTTCCACTTCTGAAAGTGAATAGCCTGGGGACATCCAGAGTCCAAGGCTATATCTGGATCATTGTTTCTGATAGCTATCCGTGCACATATCCTCCATGAATTTGTCTAAACCTTTTTTGAACTCATTTATGTTTTTGGCTTCTATAGCATCCTGTGGCAATGAGTTTCACAATATAATTAGGTAATTGTGAAAGAGTACTTCCTTTTGTGTGTTTTATATCTGCTGCCTGATAATTTCATTGGGTGCTCACTTGTTATGAGAAATAATAAATCACAATTTTAACTGTGATTTTTCCACATTTTTCTTGATTATTTTAGAAACCTCTACTGTAGTCCTCTTAACTTGGAAAACTTAATGACTATATGTGTTAAGAGCCACAGTCTAATTAGTCTCTAAATGGAGACTGTTCTGTAACTTGGATAATCCTTTCTCACCCTGAGGTGAATTTGTCCTGATTTTTCTGTGTCTTCAAGACATGACATGACCAAAACAGTGTGTTTTACTTAAGATATGGGTACACTGGTGTGTAGTAATGTTCTATATTAGTGTAATCTTGTTTGTGTAGTTGTCTTCTATGATTGCAGAAGCTGGTAGCACTTGTACCAGCTGCATGGCCTTTTTAGGAGTTTTTAAATGTTTTTGAATAATATTAAACATAGCAGTAAGTTATGAGTCCTTTACCATGTATTGCAGAGCATTTCAGTGTTATCACCACAGATCTTCACATGCTAAAACATTATAACCATTATAAACATTATAGAAAAGTTCATGTTTTGAGAGGAAGCTATAAGGGGTCATATAAGCACATATGAAACAGAAGTACAAGTATAATCTGGATTGATTAAGTCTTACTCTAATGCTTGTGTCAAAAACATCCTATTTTTTCAGAATAGATAGAAGAAGAAGGAAAATACTGATAGTCTTATAAGCATCAGGCTCTAACTGAAGAAACTAGTACTCCCTGAAATTTTTGCTGTGACATTTCATTGGCTTAACACAGTGCTGCAGACATTTCAGAGCGGTACTGGGACATTACTGATTGATTTGATCTCACAAAAGTCAACACTTTTGTTCAGGTTTTTGTGCTATAGACATTGAGATACTAATCATTCAGTTATCTTGGATAAAAAAAAGAGAAATTCATATTTCTTTGTCTTTTTGTAATCAGTCATATACTGAAATCCCTGTCTATTGCTTGAGGGACTTACTGTACATGTATCCCCAGGCAGCATTACACCTGAGGGAAACTGAAAATGTGTGTACAGAGCACACCAGGCAGTTGTAGAAACATACTGAAATTGTTGCATGTTCATAATGTATTCATTCCTTGCACAGGAATATTGTCATAGAGAGGAAAAGGTACCAGCGAGGAGCACTTTGTTAATATTTCCAGAGAAAGTAATCCAGCCTGTATTCTTGCTTTTGGAAGTAGAACACTCTACGGACTACATCAGTTGTGCCAGTGTGCTTTGTGTGTCCCTCAAGCTTCAAGCAAAGCTTTCATGTCTTGCCTCACTGTGCTGGCATGACTGAGAGAGAAGAACTTCTGAGCATGCTCCTCTGCCATGGAAAAAGTAGAAAAAACTGCCACTTGTAGATCTTGTGTGCTACACACAAGAGGTTGTGGTTGAATGTTTTCGGTCTTGGGTTGAGTATTTTTTCTGCAGTCTGGGTGCTATAAAATTTCTTTTGCAACTTAAACCAGCAAAGAGCATTACATTACTTCTACAACAAAAGTTAATAAATGCAAACTTTTAAGGAAATACTGATTTTTATCTTCTAGGCTACTGGGCATGCAGAAATGGTGGCAATCGACCAGGTCCTTGACTGGTGCAAGCAACACAAGAGGGATTACAGGGAGGTGTTTCCGCAGCTGGTGCTGTACGTAACTGTGGAGCCCTGTATCATGTGTGCAGCTGCTGTGCGCTTGATGAGTATCCTTTCATGCTGACTCACACTGGGAAACTCTGTGTCCATCCATTACTCCTTCTGTAGTGACACCACAAAGAAAGGCATGGGAGTGTCAGGGAAAGCCATGAAGGGTGGTTTGAGGGTCTGCACCCACCTCCATGATGAATAGCAAGAGGCTCAAGAGTGAAAAAGAGATGGTGCAGTTACAACAGACAACTGTTATGAGATTAAAAATACATTTTGGAGATGTTTGTTAGGATGTGAAATGAGCTAAGTGCAGTTAAGCGTTCAGTTTTGAATGTTGTATCAATCAGTAAACCATGTCTTTGCATGCCCCTGCTTTGGGGACCCGTGCTTCCCCTTTTCTGAGAAAAGCTGCATGTGCATCTTCAGCAATACATCTTACACCATTCAAAAGAAAGTTCTGATTTTATGAGGGAGGAATTGTAGCTCAAGCAAATTCAGCTTGAAGAGTATAAGCACATTTAAGGAAATTTGATGACTGCCTAGATCAGGTTTCTGTACTTCCTGCTTGTTTTTCACTTAATACCTTGACTCACTCCCATAAATTCCACGGGTCGTATATGGCTGTCGAAATGAGCGATTTGGAGGCTGTGGCTCCGTTTTGAGCATCTCGTCTGATGATATGGTGGACTCAGGAGACCCATTTGAAGTAGGCTGTAAAGTGTTTCCCTTTATTTTCCAGCTGGGATACTGTGCCTGGCTTTGCTACCAGGCTTTTAGAATGTTATGCATCACTTTAAGAGAACACAGATGGAAGATGATCAAAGTCAAATAAACTTGGCCTAATCAGAAAATAATGTAAAAAAAAAAAATCAGGTCCTAAAAGAAAACTGAGGAAACCCTGATGACAGTCTTAAATTATTTAAAAGGATGTGTCAAAGGGAAAGAATAATGCTTGTGGAAGAAGTTAAGAATTAAATGTATCTAAAATATGTGTAATACTTAGAACAGTAAGTTTATGCTGCAGGAAGAGATGAGGGAAAATTATTTTAAGCTGCAGAATGTACAAACACGTAATCAATAAATATCAAGTAACAGCAACTTACAAAATTACTTGGTTTTAGCTGAGCCACTGGAAATGATTTTTTTTGTTTGTTTTCAGTCTGTATGTTTATGAGGTAAAATGTATTAGCTTAGACTTACTTCATGTAGTTCAAATCCCAAAATAAATCTGAACTGCAACAGCAGCAGAGGAAATTCAGTTTAGGTATCAAGAAGCTTTCTGAATTGTAGGGATACTGAAAGACTGAACAGTGTCTGGGGTGATTTAGGCATCTTTGTCATGTGAGAAAGTCTGGACAAGCATTCAGTGGAGGTAGAGTATAAATAAATCTAGGTGCTTTACAATGTGATACTACCTATGTCATACATACCTGTGGAGACTATAGCATTTTATTTATAACCTTATTCACAGTTGTACATTATCTTGCCTTATACAGTGATACTGATTCTTGGAGTTCTTTTCCACATCTCACATTAATGATTTAATGAATGTAAAAAACAAATAATGTGTTTCAGCACTGTAAATAAGCACTAAAGGCTCAAGCTCAAAGAATTTCAGTCAAGAAAACAATACTGTTTGGCACTCCAGTGTATACATATTAAGCATCTTTCTGTCAGTGTGTCAGTGAGACTAACATCTGAATTAATTGGTGTAGTCAGTACTGGAAAAGTATCCATTTACTAACATTGGCATGTGGTATTTTGTTTCTTTATACATTCAGAAGACAGAAAGGAGAAGTTTCTTGATATTATGAATCCTTTATTTCTGTAGGCAACTGCAGTGGAAGGTATAGGAGTAACTACTTATTTTCTCGCATGAGTGGAGATTTATTTAGTGTGAGTGACATTTAAATGCTTTGTCATTAGTGTTCATGGCATGGAAAAGTATTTTAGAAGGACCAAAAAGATCTGAAAGGTGACTGTTAGGAATAAAAAATAGATATGTGGATGAGAGTTTTCTCTCAGGAATCTTATCTGCAAATAAGATAGGTGTATGTCTCTTATGTTTCCAAGTGCTTGAGGAGTATGGGAGGTTGGAAACACATTAATAAGAAAGAAATTGTAGATTGCATGAAAATTTTATGTAATTTACTAAGAAAGTTTGTTTTACCTAATATTAAGTTATTAGGGAAATTTCTTATTCTATTAGGACTCAACATAGTGTTTTTCAAATGTATTATGTATTGAACATAAAAAGGAGATTTTTTGTCACCCCTAAGTTGACAGTACAGTTGTTTAAAATTATTCTGTACTCAAGGCATTATTGTGAAACATGGAATAGGTTATTCTCAGATGTGCTCACTAACATCATTCTAATTTGAACAGTGCTCTTCTGGCTATCGTGCTGAAGAAGCAGTGGAATTGTTAAAAGCTTTTTACAGACAAGAAAATCCCAATGGTAGGTTTTACATTAATGCATCCATTTTGATCCCAACCTAATTTAAAAGAATGTTGGCACTGGAATTTCTGTAATTCACTTCTGATGATTCTTCTCCTTTCCTGTTTCTTGGCAGCACCAAAATCAAAAGTACGGAAGAAGGATCATCGTCAGTAGCCCTACACTGGTGGGACACAGAAACTAACCAAAAAATGATATGTGAAAGTTTCGTCAGCATGCTGCTTTTCTAAAAATGTGTAGTTCAATCAAACTATGTTTAATTTTCTCTACAAAGTTTTTACTAATAGGATACTTAGTACCTGTTCCTGTGTTTCTGTATTTATGATTTCCTGTTATCATGACAAAAAAAAAAAAAAAAAAAAGAAAGAGTAAATGGCTGTTTTTAGAAAGAGGAAAATTGGTGGTTCAAGTCCACTCATTTACAGACAGATCCATTAAAATGGTGCTTTTGTACAGCACATTCTAGTATATTTGTTTCCTTCTGTGTGTGGAGAAGTATCTTGCTTTTCAATAGCAAATGTTTGCTTAGGAAAGCAAGCAACTCTCTTATAAGGTTACATTTGTATGTCCTTTACAGTCTGTATGTGTATATTTATTCAAAAGGCATATAAAGGAATTGTACAGTCCTTGAAGACTTAGGACCATTGCAAATGTTTCCTCATTTTTTTCTACATTAGCACAAGCCAGATTTTCAGAGGTAATTTCTGGAAGTCACATACCTGTGTAGACAGGCACATACACACAATCACATGTCTGTTTGTGTGTGCTGTTGCTTAGTAAAGATAAGCAAATATCACTTGGGGGCACAGCAGCTTCATACAAGGTTGTGGAGAAACCCTCCCCAACTCTCTTTAGACTGTCCACTCCTCTTGTGAATATCAGTATAAGAAATACTTCAAGAATCCACTAAGAAGTTGTTCTCAGCTCCTAAATTATAGTAACCAAGATGGGCAGATACAAGTGAAAAACCAGAAATGAAGCTGGTAATAACATGAGTAAAATATATTTAAGATCTTTATCTTTTCATGGTGTTGGTTTAATTTGTCATTTCCATGTACTTTGCTTGGCCATGCAGTAATTTATAATCCAGAAGAGGGCCTTCAAGTTCCACTAATGAATTAAGAATACAAGTATGGTTCAATCTTGATTGCATACCTCTTAGTGGATACTTACATGAAGGATGAAATTTTTGGTAGTTTATTTGGCTGTTATTCAGAAATTTGAGAAATGTAGCTTTTTTTTGTTTTATGCAGATGCGTGTTCAAAATTTTATAACTATAAAAACTGAATACAATTACATTTTCAGATATTTCAAATAAATACTTTCAAAAGTGTTTTTAAGAAGAATATTAAAAGCATTAATTTGTCACCATTACTCTTAATAACTTAGAATTTGTATTTTATTTTGGGAATTCCGACATTTTATGTTTTTACTTAATATTTACAAAGTGACATGGCAAAGAAGTGTTTTTATAATGATAGTTATTTTCAGAGTTTAGAAAGAATATTTCTTTGACTTAAGACTTTTAACTGTAGCCTATCCTATTCTCCTGACCATTACTTAGAGCTCTCTTTGAGTCTTTCCCATTCCATAAACAAAAGTTATGACTGTGTTTGTAGATTTAATCTGCTTCAGAGCTCAAAGGGCTTGTGAATCATACAGCTAAGCTGGAAAAGCTATTTAGGAAAAGACCATTTTTAATGACTGGGATGGCTTTATTGGAAAGAAACAGGCATGCCTATGTTTATGGGATTTGGCTGGTGATAGCTGGAGATAGGTGGTGATTGCTGGGGATGGCAATTTATCACTACAGATATATTCACATCTCAGCTGAACCATAATTTTTTTATACCTTGAAGAAATCACTGAAGTCCAAATTAAAGACATCAGACATCTGGCTTGTCTCTGACATCAGTGACAGTAGGAATCAGAGCCTTCATACTGTTTTGAACCAGGACCTCAATCTCTCAACATAATGTCTTTTTCAGAGGGGCTAAGAACACTTTCTTTTCCCATTGCCTTCTTTCAAAGAAGGATGTTGTTATTGGAACATGTGTGACAGTAGAAGCCATGTAAATAAGTGGAAATATTACTGGTGGGAGGACAAAACACATTTAAAAAGCTTTGTCCAATTTTTCAACCCTTAAATTGGAACAGAATTTTTTTGTCAGTGGTAACCTGTCACTTAATAAACAGTTCAAGTCTTGTGCAAAGCCAAAAGAGACAGAAGAGGGTGAGATAAACAAAAATTTTTCTTGAGAACAATCAAGGCTAATAATGTGCATCTTGGAACAGGGGCATGGAAGAAAAATAGGGTAGTACAATAAAAACTGTCATTTTACAGAAAGGCTATAAAAGCTACTTCTGTTTACTGTAATGTGTAATCAAAAGAACAATGGTCTAGTATTGAGGCAGATTTGGATCGGGGGAGGGGTTTGTTTTGGCTCTTTTGGTTGGTTGGTTGGGTTTGGGGTTTTTTAGCATAATAATTAGTTTGGGGAACAAACTGCTGAAGGATTACAGTGGAAGCAAAAACAGAACCCATTCACCTGAAAATCCTACTACTTAGCCAAGTAAGAACAAATGCAGATACGCAGGTATTTTTATAAAATAAAGACATCAGCTCCTGTGTGAACAGCAGCCGCTCCTCAGAGCCATGCAGTGCTCTCCTCCCTCCCTGCCAATGGCCATCCCAGCACAGAGCAGGAGCCCGGCTGGCCGTGTGCCACTGCCCTCAGAGCTGCACTTCAAGCAGGTGTCCCAGTCTGCTGTGCCACAGCTCTTCCTAACTGTGGGTTTTGAGCTTGTCAGCATGTTTTAGAGTCAGATTTGTAAACTTGAGAGATCCACAAGAAATTACAGAGATGCTGGGAGGAAGGTTCTAAGTTCAGGCTCAGAGAAGCCTCTCCATGACTAAGCTCAATGCAAGGGCTGGAAAAAAGTCAAGAGGAAGCCATAACAATTATAACCTGAGGAACTGACTAGTTTCAGTGCTCTACATCAGAATGTGAACTTAACAAGAGAATTAGAGAATCCAGAAAGGATGTTAGGAAAAGAATCAAACCATTCTTGGAGGCTTATTCAATGAGATGTTTGCTCATGGCTGCAGAAGCATAGGCTGGGTTTGGAACTGCTGCTGCCAGGTGAAATCCTGCAGCAAACTGGGCTGCACATGCTGGAAGAAGTACTGATGTCTGTTTGCTGGGGACCTGGTGTCAGGCTTTGGCTCTAGCTTTAGAGGAGTGTCAAAAGCAACTACTTTAATTGTTACTGACACCTGGAAACTCAAGAACAGCAGCATATAAATCGTACTATTCATTTTCACAGTGCTTTTATTTATTTTATCTATTTGTTTCTAGATTGCCACATAGCAGGACTCAAAGAGCAGCAGTAAATATATTCAGCTGGTTTATTTAAAGAAGTTTAAATGCTTCACCATTTTCCCCTTGCTGCTTGATAAATAAGCATTTATGCTTCAGGGTTTCATTCACCTTGGACTGCATTTTTGCCAGTTCATTACAGGTAAACTTGATTTTATTTCAGCCTTTGGTTTGCTTGTCAATAGTGTGACATCAAAATATATTGAACCAGCTAGGAGGGCAGGAAGCAAAACAATACAGCTTTGTCTCTGCTAAACCAATTACAATTGACAATCCAAGGCTATAATAAATATGTCTTGTGACTTGCACACTAGAGGAGAGCCTGAATTTAAATTATAGCTTTGGGTTTTGAAATGCTCACTGATCCATTCCATTCCCATTAAGAGTGCCTTCCGCTCTGCAAAATTAAGTGATATCTTTACATGACAGTTTAATTTAATTAATTTGTTTTTCAATACGTACATTTATGGAGTTTCTCCATTAGGCTTTTGAAATGTCTGTAGGTCCTATGCATTAATGTAAATGCACCATGGCCCATAATTACCTTTGGCAGGCTTAGGGCACTGATAAAAAGATTATATTTTTGAAAACTAAAGTCTTCAAACTTCCTCAGTGCTTGGCAGGAAATCTGTTTCTGTGTTTTATTTGGAGCAAGGCTGTGGAGCCTGCAGCCAACAACTCCAGTGTAGGCAGTAACTGTTATATTTTATAAGAAAATACATCTGAGGCTAAATGAGAGAAAGGGCGAGGATGACAATTAGTGCAAGAGTACTAGAAGCAGCTGTTTGTGTGTTTTGCCTTGTGGCTGCCAATATATTCTCTTATCATTAAAGTGCATCTAGAAACAAGGTATTTTCTATGAAATTACTTCACAAAACATTGATCTTTGTCTTTTTAAGAGGCTGCTCCAAAGTAAGTTATCTTCCTTTTTCACAATAGCTCTGCACTAGCCAAGAATACTGGATTCTCCCTTTCCTTCCTCTTGCCTCCTTTCTAAAATTGAACTTTTCAGGAAAATATGGAATTCAGAGAAGTTTGAAGGAGAGCAGATGGCCAACAGTGATCCAAAAGGATGCAAAACTTCAGTTAGGTAGTTGCTTGGCAGGCAAGTGCAAGTGAGCCTGTGATGTTTCCATAGTGATGTTTTCACATGGTGCCTTCCTTTTGTCTTTTAAAAATCTAAGTGATTTAAAAAAAGAAACAGGGGGCGTGGAGGTAGGGGAGGGGTGGGGGGTAAAATAAAATGAAGAGCTCTGCCAGGGGCAGAAACTTGGGCTCATCTCTGATTTCTGCCTGAACAGTGAGGCACTTTTCCTCAGTTTCTGTGGTGCTTGTGTGTGCTGTCTTGCTGGATAAAGCAGAAACAGCTTCTGAAATTATGACTGAGATTGTAGTGTTCTTGGAGGGGCACTGGTTTTTCTGGTGTCAGCATTTCACATCTACCCGTGGGGCAAGGTTTGCTATGGCACTTCTCTAGCCCTGAGAGCTTTCTCTGCATGCAAGGAGGCAGTGCAATAAAAATTAATGCTTCCTGTAACTCGATTCCTATTTTCTCCTTTCAAGCCTTAGAGGTAGCCATCACAGCCACATTAGTTTGGGAGGATATAAACAACAGCCATTATCTGTGCAGTCACATTGCAAAAGAGAAACAAGGTTTGTATGGAGGGGCAACATCTTCTATTAAGCCAAATGACTCAGAAAAAAACAGGCAAGATTTTCAACATCTAGCCATAGGGACACTGAGTTCAAAAGCTTGCCAACTTTTTCCATGCATTTAAAGTAAAATGAAGGCAAGTAACTATGTTCCATCTCCCTGCAAAACCTGCTTTTCTTGAAAGAAAAAAAAAAGGGGGGGGACAATTTGATTATTAGCTAGTTTGAGCATGAGGGCTTTGGTTGGAGGCTGGACTCTTGGTAAACTTTCTAACTCTCCAGCAGAACCCTCCACTGCCTATGCACAGGTGTCTCAGCACTTGCACCAGCACTCTGTGAGGATCCAACACAATTTTCCCTTCTCAAAAGCTTCCCAGCAAGGAGCTGAATGCAGCAGCTCATTTGCTGAGCCACTCACCCTTGAGCGAGCAAGACTCTTCTGGGGAGAAGCAGGTCCCTAGTGGGAATATTGTGGGATGGGGGAGAGTGATTCACATTACCTCTGGTTTATGAATCCTAGCATTAAATGCCCTGGATGCTGAGGTACAAGCAAGCAAAGTCAATTTATCCTGTGAACAAAGTTACCTAGCTGCCCTTCTGTGCTCTGTCTCACCTCTGCATTCAGAGCTGCTTGGCAAGGGAGCCCACTGTTCCCGTATTGACCAGCCTGTTATTACCTGGCCCTGGAGATAGAAAATAAGTCTTTTCTTGCCCTCTGCAACCTCTTTCCAGTCATGCTGTGCAGCACTTGTACTGGCAGCAGCCTGAATGAATCATTCAAAATTATACAAGTTTACTGCACTTTTAAATATTTCAATGTGTTTATCCTGTCACGGTGCTCCATAAGGATGCTTGAGTTACCAGTGACAAGGGGGAAGGCTGAAAGCTCTCAGCCACGGTAGCCACAGAACCCTGATCACTTACAAAGTAGGACACTTCAAAAGCATTTCCACTGCACGGGAAATCAGACAACTTTGGTGTGGGCAACTGCAGCTCAGGGAAAGTCAACCTATGGATTGTCCTGTAGATGCAGAGAGTCCTTGCGGCGCTGCTGTGCCACAGAGGACAGTTCGGAAATGGCATTGCAGTGGGTTGGAGCTGGGCAAAGTGGGACAGCTCAGACTCCTGCCCGTGTTACCTTCACTCTGTGCCATGGCTGTTCCCTCAGCACTCACTCACTCCAGCATATTGTACTGGGAGTTTACCTGCTCCCTCCTGCGAGCCTTTGATCTGCCTTTATGCTCTGCCACAGAGCTGCAGAGTGCTCCCGTTTGGAGCACCTGCCTGCCGCTTCAGCTTTCAGACCACCCTCGGGCAGCGCTTCAGCAGCCGGCGTGCCGAGGCTGCG